AATTGGTTTTTCCAACTGGAGGGTGTTGTTAAGCCTCTGCAGGCCTACCACAAAACCCACATCAATGATCTAAATTGTTCCAAATGTAGAGCTCGTCAAATACTTCATCCTTATAAACAATCACATGGATCGAATATCGATAACCACTTGATTAAATTACATTTTTATTTATAAAATCATATTTACCTTTGGCATAAATGTGATATAATCAAGTAATTACCGATATTCAATTAATGTGATTTTTTGTAAAGATGAAATAATAAACGAGCCCTATACATTTAACCGTTTGGATTATCAATGTAGGCTTTGTGGTGGGCCCATAAAGACCCAACAATACCCTCCAGTCTGATTTGGACCGAAGAGAAGCTTCTCCCTTTAGACAAAAACTAAAAAGTCACTAAAATGACCTCTTATTATGTGGAAAAATTATGGGGAATTCGGACAAAACCCTTCATAATAAAAGTTTCATACATTAAGGACAAATACAAAAAAAAAAAATTAAAAATTCTAACACACACCACTATTAGCAAAATATCATTAGTGAGTACTTTAATATTTCAAATTTTAAAATGATACGACTTTTGATCTATTTGTCGCTTTTTAATGAAATTGGTTTTTTTTAAATCCTTTCGTGAAAATCTATCAAACAACATCCATATTGGCTATGAAATTCTGCAAAAAAATAAAAATAAAAATAAAAAGTAAAAGTTTTACCTTTGAAATTAATCAACGATAAATTTTTACTCTTATTCATAGTAAATTTTACTGTAAAATTTTAAATTTTAAATCGTAAATTACCATCATCGTCATCATTAAACACTATAATCACTATAATTATTAATAAATAATTACAAAAACATAACTTTAACATAGTAAAATGAAATAATAACTTTAAGAATGTAAAAATTACTGTTAATTTTAAAACAGAACATCAACAAATAAATTTATTATTATTGCAAATCAGAATAAAATTTTACTATCACTTTTAAATAGAGCATCAAGAAAATAAAATACTTGACATATATTATAAAAGGAAGTCAAGTAAAATTAATCTAATAAATGACAGTTCAATCACGATTTGATTGTTGATTACATATTATCAATAGTCAACTAGTGATTGAACAAAGCTTTAACTCTAACACGAATAGTGATCGAATTAAGTGATCGAAAAAACTCCAACTCTAACTTGAACAGTGATCAAATGAAGCTCTGCAAACTCTATCAAGCTCTTATGCTTTGCAAACTCGCAACTACGAACTGTATGGACTACAATCAATGAATGAAAATTTTTCAAATCTCTCACATATATATATATATATATGTGTGTGTGTGTATATGAAAGGGTAAGATTGTTCCCAAAAACAATGTATACATATTTATTTGTCCTTCATGAAGTAGACGCTTCTTGTTCAATGGGTTTATGAAGTAAAAAATTTTGATTGTCATTTTCACTAAAAATGGGCTCAGTGAGAAGGTTTTGGCCAAAAAAACCCAAAAATTATTTTGTAATTTGAGACAACCACGTTATTTTTTAGGGTAACTTACACTGACACCTCCTCAATTTAGTCTGAAATCACATTATTATCCCTCTTATTTCTTGAAATCATATTGCCACCCCTTAGTTTAGAATTTTGTACAACAGTTTAATCCTTCTATTGGTCAACAAACCTTTGTTGACCAAACAAAATTAGATGACATCATCAATTAAATACCTCTAAATGCCAAAATTAAATGAATTTGCATTTCATTTTTATGAGATGAAATGTGTGTTTTGCTAGCTTAAGCTAAGTGAGTTGTTTGGTAAATTGAAGTGTATTAAAGTTTTTCTCTGTTTGGTTGAATTTTTAAAATTTATTTTTTGTAAAAATTTTAAAAATTAGATTGGTGAAAATAATAAACTACTATTTTTTTTCACAAAGTATCTTTTTTAGAATGGAAATTATTATTAAAAATTCAAAATATATATTTTTTGTGTTTATTTTTTATCAAACTAATTTACAATTATAAAAAAAAAAAAAATCACAAAACTAGTTCCAAAAATTGAAGCAAAACGGAGTCTTCGTATAAAAATTATAACAGTGGGTAGGTTAGGTGAAATGTTTACTAAGGCATATGAGGGTATAAAACTCATTTGATATTTTGATTAAACAAATTAACCTGTGTCACCTTACAATGGGTGGCAGGGTGATTTTAAAGAATAAGAACGGTGACAGTGTGATTTCAAACAAATAAAAGGGGTGTGAGTGTAATTTACACTATTTTTTTTTTTTTTAATCCCAACTACATTGAGATAATAAAAATTAGATCTGACGTCTCAATTTACTGTTTAGCCGATGTGGATTGGTTGGGACCAAAATGACATTGTAGTGTTAGACCATAAAAACAGACTCCACTATATGGCTCAAACATTGTTAGACTGACAGTCTGACACCATTAAGCTAAGGATTTTTATTAGTCAGTTCCAATATTGGAACCTATTATCCATTAAGTTTTAAGTTTTATCTCATGCACTAATAAATTTTGTTATATTTTTTTTTATTCCGACTTTGCCCTTGTTATACTTTTGCACGTTTTATTTTGTTTCTTTCTCATAGTTTCTCGTTTTATTTTTGAACTTCAAATTGGGAACCTCCGACAATATTTTTTTTGGCTATTTTTCATCTCCAACAGGTCACCACCGCAACCACCTCCTCAAATCCGGTGGCGATGAGAGAAAAAGAGAAAAAAAAAATGAAGAGAATGAAAGAGAGATGAGAAGCCATTACCAGAGAATAATTCTCATTATTTTACGCTATCACAAATCAAGTCAAAGAATCAAAAGTCTAATTCAGTGATAAATTTATCACGCAACAAATCTCAACCAGAGTTGTAGTGATAAATTTATCACTGTTGAATTTGTTAAAAAATTTACAAATAGTAGACTTGATTTGAAAGAGAGCGGGGCGTCACAACAAATTTATCACTGAATTATGTAATAAATTTGTCACTGAATTAAGTAACAAATTTATAATTCATAAATTAAGTAACAAATTTATCACTAAATTAAGTAACAAATTTATTAGATCAGTTACATGTCTGTAGAAGATCAACAAAACCTTTCAATGAATTGATTGGAGACTTTTCATCCCAAACCGGCGATGGAGGAAGATGGTGGCAACGATGATGTCGAAGATGGTAGATCGGTGATGGAGGAAGATGGTGGCAATGACGATGTCGAAGATGGTAGATTGATGATGGAGGATTGCGGTGTTGACACTACAAGAAAAAGCAGATTTCGCGACTAAAAATGGATTTTTCGTCGCTGAAAGTAGCAGAATTGGCGACTAAAACAGTATAGTAGCCAAATGTAGGGGTTTTAGCGACTAAAAGTCAGTTTAGTCGCCGAATATAGGGGTTTTAGCGACTAAAAAAATTTTAGTAGCCAAAAGAGAAGGTTTTTGGCGACTAAAAACATTTAGTAGCCAAAAGTATAGGTTTTGGCGACTAAAAAATAGTTTGGTCGCCGATTATACGTGTTTTACAGACAAAAATCAATTTCGTAGCCAAAAGTGAAGCTTTTTGGCTACTAAAAAAAATTTAGTAGCTAAAAGTCAAGAATTGCCGAATAAATGCAGTTTAGTCGCCCAAAGTAGAGGTTTTGGCGACTAAATTTCAGTTTAGTGGCCAAAAGTGGAGGTTTTTCAGCGAGAATGATTTTTTTTAGCGACTAAAATATAATTAGTAGCCAAAACTATACAATTGGCAACTAAAAAATAGATTTAGTCGCCAAAAGTGATCTAATTTTTTTTTTAGTAAATAATTTATTTTTTACATAAATTATATTGAATAAAATTAATTATTTTTATATATATAGCTAGATATTAATACGGGTCAATATAGTATATAAAAAATATGTGTTGCATATATATTCATGTGGTGTTGTAGTGGCATAGTGAAGAGAGTGTGTTGCTAAAAGTTTAGAATGTGGGAGAGGTTGGCGGTTTGAATCTTAGAAAAAACAAAGAAGTTGCTTTTTTCTTTTTTTTTTTCACGGAAGCACCTTTGGCGACTAAAATTTTAGTCGCCACAAGTGTTTTTTTTGGGCGACTAAACGGTTTAGTCGGCGATTCATGGACTATTGGCGACTAAAAGATTAGTCGCTAAATGTGTGATTTTAAAAAGTGTAGATCACTATTGGCGATTAAATCGTTGGTCGTTAAAGAGTTATTTTTTGCCGACTAAAAAAATTTTAGTCGCCAATACCTCCGGCGACCATATATATGCGACGAAACGGGCGACTAAAAAAATTAGTCGCTGAAAGTAAAAACTCAACTTTCGGCGACTAGAAACAGACTTTTGGTGACTAAAATTTAGTCGCCAAATGTGCTTTTTCTTGTAGTGTGTTGAAGTTATCAGATGAATGATAGTAGAGGAGGAGCGGTGATGGCAACGAGGGAGAATGACGGTGGTGGTTGAGTCGAGTGTGGTTGAGCTGAGCGACATATATGGTGATGAAGAGGAGGAGATGGTGTGCCGGTGAGAAATATGAGAGTGAGAGAAAGAGAAGAGAGAAAAATAGGGATAGGGACGACTCAACTGAATGTAAAGGATAAAAATGAAAGATGGGCAAAATTATTTTAGATTATAACTTCTTGGGAATTAAGTTTGGTCTAAAGGACCGGCCCACAACTCCCCTTAAGCTAATGTATTCATCCTTGTAACTTGAGATCAAGAACAACAAACATCCTCTTCATGATATAACTTGAGATCAGAACACGGATATATATATCCTCTTCCCATAAGACCAATGAAAAAGAAAATTCCCGGAAACAAAAAATCGATATAAGAAAAATATTCAATTACTAAGAACAGTGGATGGTAATGCAATTTTCTGTGTGAGTAGAGTTCATCACAGCCCTAAGTTGAACACAATGCAAATACGAGTAAAGCTATATACATATACCCACTTACAAGCTGGTCAATCATCTTGTAATCACTATTTTTTATGTGGTTTTTTTTTAAAAAAAAACCAAAATCTCCATAGTTTATATACTGGATGAGTACTATGTTTGTAAGTCTGACCGATTCTATCCCGATTTAGTTTGCTGTTGTTTCATGCTGACTATCTGCAACAAATAAAATCTAATAATTAGACATATTTCCGGCGTGTTTATAAATAGCTACTTAGGCCTCATTTGACAAGTGACATTTTTAACTAAAAAGTTAAAAAATCACTAAAAAAATTAAAAAGTCAACAATTCATATCAAAAAGTCAAATATTCATTTTTCTCTCTATTTTTTACACATATTTTCGTAAAAAGTCAAAAAGTCATCCTAAATATACTAATTTTTTTCACATTACATTTTAGCCAAAAAATCAAAAAATTACTAAAAAAGTTTGTTTCCAAACGAGGCCTTAGGGTGGATATTCATAATCGTATGGCTATGAATATTTGAATTGAATCGTTAATTGCATTACCGTGTAAATATAGGGTTCCCTGCGACCGCCTGCGCCCATCCTCTTGATCTCTTCCTGCTTCAACAACCTGAAATCAAATTACATGATCACCCCCAAAACAACTCAACACAAACCATCACCGTTGATCCTAGCTTTTCTTTTCTTACTTAACAAAGTATTCTGATCCAACAGTGATGGTTCGTTGACAGGAACCCCCCAATAAGGAAAACACAATATAATATGATTTGGTAAATTTTTTGGCACCCAGTATAAGAGCCTAGTGTGGGAAACCATCAGGGTTTTGATATGATCAACGGTTGAGATGATCCAACCTCGATGACTTCCCTATAGTTTGTAAAATACATTAGTAGAGACAGAGAGAGAGAGAGCACATTCTCAAGGCTTTGCTGGTGTCAGGGCTGTCACCGAGCAGCTGGCGTATCCTGACTTCAGAAGCACAACCATTAGACAAGAGTCTCATGATCTCTTCGGCTCGGTGGCGCATGGAAGCCGAGCTGATCAGCGGCTTGGTTTTCAAATCTGGAACCAAAACCTCCTTCTTCCCGCTGGAAACAGCACTGGAGCTACTTGACACACACGAAGAAACCTCATCGATGGCGGCCATCTTTCTGCCGAAATCGATTTTCCGGTGATCGGAGCTCCGGTTTTTCTTTGAGCGGTTTTTTCGCACAACCTGCCAAAACTCATAGATTTGAAACTTCATATAGTCGTAGCAATTCAAAAGAATCAATTTGATTCAGTGTGAAATCGATTTCCATGGAGATTTGAATTCATCAAACACAGAAGTTTTAGTAATATTCAGTACTCTATGCATTTAGCTACAAATCGAATTCATATTCAAAACGAGGGAGAATGACCAGGAGCAAGTAATTCATCACCTAATTCAAGATCTATTTACAGAGAGAGCTTGAAATCAAACTCAATTGAAATTGAAAACTGCAGAGAGAGCTTGAAATCAAAATTAAACAGGGCAATATAGAAATCAACTACTACTAATCGTGCAGATAACAAACAGCAATACAGAAAACAAACACAACACTCCAGAACTTCAAATCAGGCGATTAATCACGAGGTGCATTTAACTAAAATATCAAATTAGAATGTCTGAAAACCAAGTTCAAAATGCAATGCACCAGAGCTTCAATCAGAAGCGAACTAATTGCAATAGCTTCTTCAAAAACTACCAAACGCATTCCGATTGAAATTTGATAAAGAAACAGAGGGATATGAATCACGTGGAATTTCGTTCATCCATTCAAATTGAAAATGCAATCTACTTGAGATTCAAATCTGTAACAAACTAGTCACAACGCTACTCAACAACAATCCAATACACCAAAATTCGAAAATCAATCGAGAAACATAGAGGTTACGAATCGCAATGAACTTCACTCAGCAGCAGAAAATCAAATTGTAAACAAACAAAGCCTCAAATATCATAAAGTAATCAATTCACAGCTACAATTCAATACAAAATCCATAAAGTTGTGATCACCTTGAGCTTCATCTCATGACAACAAGCAACAACAGTGACTATCCTAAGCGGATGAGCTGAAGCATCTGCAGAAGAACCATTGTCGCTGGTCAGAGACGAAGAACAGGACTTGGAGTTACTCAACAACTCCAAGCTCTTCTCTGATTCATTGCTCTTGCTTTTACTGCTATAAATTCAAAAATCAAGCACAAATTAATTATCAATACACAAGTTGAATCGAAATGAGCTTGAATTTCATTTCGATTTGTTTGTAGAGCTTACTCTGGAGGAGAGAGAGAGGGTGGTGTGGTGGCGAGAAGGAGAAGAGCTGAAGCAACTGTGCGTTCGAGCGGACATGGAAACGCTTCCATTGTTTTTGAAAACACTTTTTTTGTTTTCAGAAATGGCGGGATGATCGAAAACGAGCTAAAATATTAAAATTTCCTTACTTTATGAAGAAGAGCCGAGTATGATCTACGTGTCTCCCGCAACGAAGCAGTGCATAACGGTTTTAAAAATATTTTTAAATTTTTAAAAATAATTTCTTACCACCAATATAAAATTATGTAAAATTAATAAATCTATTAGATATTTATTTATTTATTTTTACTAAATTAATTTTTATTATATTTTTGGATGATGATCATGTAATGAGTGGTTGTTAGGCTTTTAATATGTAATCAATATATATAATATATGAAATGTTTTTAATTTGAATTGTTTGATATAATAAATTAGTTTAATAATGATATCAAAGTTGTCGCCATATTTGACTTTTGAAGAAATAGAATCTAATTTAATAAATTAAAAACAACCACCCATTACATGATCATCATCCAAACACATAATAAAAATTAATTTGATAAAAAATAAAAATAAATGTCTAAAAGATTTATCAATTTTACATAATTTTATCTTTAGTGGGTAGAAATAATTTTTAAAAATTCAAAAATATTTTGACATTTATTTTTGTCAAATTAGTTTATATTTTATCAAATTGCCAACTTTGTTCTTGAAATTAAGCAATGGTATCTTCAATTGTCCTTATTTGGAGAAAGATTCAAAATTGAGGATTAAATGTGTTGCAATTGAAAAGTCATAGACCAAAGTAACACATGACCCAAACTATAGGGACCATTAATGTAATTCGTCCTTTTTTTTTAGGGGGGGTAAAAATCAAAAAGTATATTTGTTTAGATTATTTCAAACACCCTCTAATTTAGATTCAAACCATTCATGCCATACAATCAATTTTAAAAAATTAGTTAAATTAATCCATATTTTGAGATTTGTTTAAAATACAGATTGTCTCTTCTTGTTTAGAAAATTTCAAACGCCTATTGTCAGAATTTTTATTTAATAGAATTAATTGAAAAAATAAAATTCCTAGCTATTCTTCTATATACAATGATAAAATTATCTGAATTATTAATTCAAACAAGTTTATGACAACATTAAAAACTATTAATTGACTTGATAATTTATTAATAAAATGGGTCATTTGTTATGAAATTATAAACTTCAAGGGGTAGGATGTAATTTCTAGAACCACAAGAGATAAATTATAGTTTAAGCAAACCTCAAGAGGTGTATTTGTATTTTACCCAAAATATAATTTCTGTAAAAATTTAAATTAGTTTAATATTGATTATTATACTTTCAAATTATTTTTATTTATACGTTATTCATATTTTTAAGAAGAAATTGTCCATTTATTACAATATAGAGTGATGTGATCATGTTTTACTTAGTATTCAAGTAGGTAAACAAAACTAAAAAAATGACAAAAAGTATTACCATGGATGCTATTGCGATAATTCTAATCACTCATACAAAAAATTAAGTCAATTTGATAATCATAACATATTCAATTAATTGCATTTTTATCCGATAATCACAGTCTATTCAATTTATTGTGTTTGTCACAAAAATAAAATAAAATAGATGATTTATTTTAAAAATACGATTTTTGTATATAGTGGACACTTTGGCCAACTTAATTCTATTCTAATATCCCTTACAGCTTTACCACTTTATTTACCATTTTTAATAACACAATACATGTGTTCCAAAATATCATTTTCCAAAATGATACAAATGTTTTCAAAACATAATACAAGAATTTTCAAACAATATTTCCAAAACATATAATTTTAAGTTTCAAAATCCATAACATGCAACATGATATGTATGCTTTTACAACCATTCAATTGTCTAATCCACGTGCAATTTCTAATACACGGGAATATTATCCTTCATCGATAGGTAAAACAATTATCTTTAATGCAATAATTAAAATACAACAATATGGATGTACAGTCTAATATTTTGAAATCACATTTCCAAAACTTTTTCTTTTTTTTTTCCCCAACAAGCTCAACATTTTCAAAAGAGTACTCGATACTCGTTATTTCCAAATCTCATAAACAGTTTCTTTTCAACCAAATCATTTTCCAATATCCAACCAACTCCTCAAAACCATAACTTCTAGAGTTTTTCATAAATGGGGGGTTTTCACTTTTAGATACTTGCATGCTATTTTGTACACCGAATAGATTTAGTATCAAAATTATAACCCAACAACCCCCAATTTAACAAACACCTCAACCCACAAAACATAACTTTCCAAAACAACCCAACAATAACAAAATCTTTACATGAAAATATACCACAAATATATTATCGAACTCACATCGAGGAACTCACATCGAGTTTAAGAATAAACCCTACCTCTTGAAAGCGAAGAGAAGACAAGTCGAAAAAATCACCGGCGACGAAAAAACGATCTACTCAGATTAAATACAAGTCCTCACACTACAAAAAAATTGACTTTTTGCGACGGTAAAATACCGTCGCTAATACTCCTAATGCCGTCGCTAATACTTTTTGTGACGGTAAAATGACTTTTGCGACGGCAAGAGGGGGGTCGCAACTGCAGGGGTTGCAAAAGAGTTTTTGCGACGGTAAGTGCCGTCGCTAATGTTTTGCGACGGCATTTTTTACCTTTTTGCGACGGCACCGTGCAGTCGCTAATAACGTTTGAAATTTCTTGACTTTTTTGCGACGGCCCTATTTTACCGTCGCTAAAAAAAAAACGATCTACTCAGATTAAATACAAGTCCTCACCAAGCTCTACATTTTGATATATAGAACTAGGAGTAGAAAGAAAATGGGTAAATATAGATGAAATCCAAACTTGAAAGCTCAAATGGGCTAAAAATGGTGAAAAGGGGGAGACATGAAAAAGATTGGATCAAGAAAATAGATATTTTCAAATTTTGGAGACTTGGTTAGGCAAACAGACTGCGGCCGCGAAGGGCGACCGTGAAGAAGGCAAAAAAACAGGATGATTGCTGAAATAGAGGAAGGATAGAGGAAGGCTAGAGTGGCATGTTCAACATTAGCATATCTGAATTCAAGTTCCTCTACATAATTTTTTTTGTGATAAAAGGATGGTTTAACATTTTTCTGTATTGTACATATGGAACCAGGCGATAGTAAGGGATGACCAAATCTATGAATATTGTGTCTATTAACGGTAGTGAAAGATGACAAAATTACCGACGATAGTGAAAGACTATAGAGACGATCAACAACACGTCTATGAAGAACTTGAACCTCACAAGCAACATTCGTCAATGGTAGCAACATTTCATATTTTGAAGATGTCTCGGGTCTCATCCGTTGAAAACTCATTGTTGTCTTTGTCATTCTGTTTTTGTTCGAAAAATACAATGTGAAATTTCATTTTCATAAGAAGTAAAATTTATTCGATTTTTTTTTTTGGGGGGGGGGGGATTTTAGAATTTCATAGCGAACATTTCTTATTGGATAATCCTCAATGAGAAGAAAAAAAGGAATTGATATTCACGTCAAAATTTATAAAATTTTGAAAAAAAAACCTTATAAGAAATAAAAATTCATAAGAGTTCATCTCAAATCTCAAATTTTTATTGTCAAAATCTTATCATCAGACAATTACCACCCTTAAACCACCCCTAATAATGTGACAATAAGGTTACGGATAATTTTTAAGAGTCATAAATTAGATATCTCAAGCATTTTGCTTAAACTTATATTGTTGACGTAACTTTTTTATTTTATTTTATAACTTCATGTCTTATATTATTTAAAATTTTAGAAAGAATTTGTTATATCAGTTATTAAAATTAAAATAAATAAAATTCTATTTAAAATCGACTATCTCACAAACAATATCATCAAGTAAAAAAGGTAGTGAAGAAACTTGAATATAAGATTTAATTTTTAGTAATTTTGCATAGGGAAATGATTTGGAGCCCTAAAAACATCCCCTTAATCCCCCTAATTTCCATTTTAGGCAACTTTTTTCTTTTTTTTTTTTACTTGATATGGAAATTAGGGGGATTAGGGGGGATGTTTTTAGGGGGATGTAGCATGACCCTTTTGCATATAGGTAGGGAAAAAAAAGGGGGGGTGTTAAATTATCAATAGATCTTAATAGTTAAACTTAATTCCCATAAAATTCTATTGAAAATAAATCCTAATAAAATCATCATTAAAAATAATTTTTGTGACGATTTTTTGCATATGT